AAAGGTTTTTTATATATATTCGTTATATAGTTTTGCCCCTTTAATCAGATGAATCTACCAAAAAAAAAAAAGCTAGTATAGAGCATCTAAATAGAGGTGACAAGAGCTGTAGTTAGCCAATAGCATGAATTCAGACGCCTCGTCGATAATTATTTTTCAAAAGAGCAAAACTATATAAATGAGGTATATTGAAAACCTTTGAACAGCTCTCAGCTACGTATCAAGTGTCGCAAATATATGTGGAAATTAAAAGTTTATGTCCGCGAGCTCCTTGTTTAAGACACTGCCAGATAAATTTTTGAAGAAAAATAAAATAAAAACCAAATAATGTGACTAAAGTAAGGAGGAAGGCCGCCTTTTTAGTAGGGAGCTTGCTGAAGGTGTCTCATAGTCTTTTTTTCAATCGAATTATCACAGAAGATTAGATCGAAAGTATCATGTCTTTTAAAGCATCAAGAGTGGCTACTGACGTGTGACTACCTAACATGGACATGAATATCATTCATCCTTTTCTATATTTATGGCTCCTTGTGACGATACGATGAATTTCAAATTGACTGGAGAATCAAGTTTCGAGGATAAAACATCTTCAATTTTATTTTTAAGGCTCACTTCCTCTAACCGCATGTATTTGCGTTAATATTGGCCAGCTTGGGGCGCAATACCTCGAAAGGATTTTGGAGCAAAATCTTAAAGTATTTGACAATAAGTATGGGTTTTTTTCGTAAACTAAGATCAAGTGTTGAATAAAATCCAGGCCAAGAAGAAAGGCATTTTGGAGCTACAGCACTAGAAGCTAACAAAAAGGGGTGTTGTATTATAGATTGTCATCCGAAATGTCCAATTGAGAACCAACAAATGTTGGCGAGTTTTCAGAATCTCTACTCATCAGACGGTAGGGCACGAGAAAGATCTCAAACAAGTACTGAACCCATTTCTCTGGAATGAATAATTCTGGGTGGAGAGGGGTAGCAATTCTTACCATGTTGCAGTTCCATTCCACTACGAATAAAAATGTGTAAATGAAATAATCTACCCCAGATGTACCATTGTAAATTACATTAAGTTTCATAATGAGAAGCTCGCGCAAAGCTTACTAGTAGGTTTATATTCTGGTTCGAAAATACCAACGAGCCATATGTGTTTTTAAATATGTTCCAAGAATCAATTTTGGGGATGTAACTCCCAAAATTCAAATGATCGATTAATTTTCGAAATGAATTTTCCCACCTTAAGTTCATGCTATTGCGTATTGCATTCGAATAGTAGTGGCCAACCTCGAATCACCAAGTATGCAACAAATCACCCTAATTTGAGCAATTGTCAAACTTCGGCAAGAGACAACCTGTGATCTTCAGTGCCATGGAAACGATTAAAAAAATTGTACGCTGTAGTAAATTCATGAGCACTTTGAATAGAAGTTGCAAGTGCTTCTTAGGCCTAATAGGAAGATGCTTTAGACTAAGGCGTTCATCAGTTTTTGCGAATCACACCTATAGAATAGCTCGACCCCATTGAGACCGTCAACAAATGGTTCGATCTCCATAGCAGAGTGAAATCTGTTTGTGTCAGAAAGAAGACGAGGCTGTTTTCTGAGACACGGTATTGATTGGCTATTTTGCGGCAAGTAGTTTACTTTTGGAAAAGAAGTAAGCTTTTTTTACCATTCCTACATTTATTTGACTGGATTGTTTGGTCTTCTAACACTGTCATTTTGCACACCTAAAAGCACGTATAGCGTTGGCTTGGTTAATGAGAAGCAAGATTCTGCCCTTGAAAGAACAGAAATCATATCAAAACCCGGAATCATGTCGCTCACTAGATAGACGTCGAAAAAAGCTGATTCCGTTGACCCGAAAGCTTAAGAAAAATTCGCGTTGATTCCGTCCACTTTAAACACCTTGCAGGTATTTGTTGCGCAAAATGCACCGAATCTGGAAGAATGGTTCTAACAATAATTGTGGATTGACTCTACCAGTAAAGCCATATACATGATTTACTAGGGGTATACCAGTTGAACGTCTCACCAGCAGTACGCTTTCAAGCCACCACTGAAGAGGTCTGCGACGCAGGGCCGGTACGCACTGCGGCTATTCGGAAAATCTTGCAAAACACGAGCAAATAAAGCGGCCACACCTGCCTCTTTTGGAAAGACTATGTGCTCGCCAGAGCTGGCGGCGATGGCGGCCATGTATCGTTACTTATTTAAATTGGAAAACAGGTGTGCCAAGAAGTAACATATAACTTGCTGACTCCCGCTTAGCCTCTCTCTATGCGTGTATTAATCATAGTCAAGAAGCTAATTGGGATGAGGCCGACTGTAGCTTTCCTTCTTTCGCTCCACCTCACGGCGGCATTGGTTGTCGTGGACTCTTCGCTAGCATCGTCATGCATATACTACATGAAGAACTTCGATTGGGGCTGCGGGGGAACGGGCCAAGGGCACAAGATGTACCTGTGCCGGTGCCACAATGTAGACTGGGTTGGTTCCGTGTCCAATTGCATGGAAACACAGGGCAGCGATAACCAGGAAACCAGACATGCGTGGAAACATTTGGCCACTCGATGCTTGCAAAAAGCCGACTTGCATTTCACGGTGGACCAGCTCGAAGACTACCTGCTGAATGCTACCCAGTACATGGAAGCACCGCCCACCAATATGAGCACGCGGCTCTACCTGCCCATTTCGGTCAACCACTCGGACTATGAGATCTACAAGACGTCGTTTGACGACATCAACCATCACGTATTCAAAAGCCAGTGGCTCGGCTGGGGGCTTGTGCTTTTCTGGGGCGCCTACGTGGCGTATCTCACCGTGTCCAATATTCTCTGGACCTGGATGCGCGTATCGGTGTTTCCCAAAACGGCCAGGCAGTGGTATCAGAAACATATGTTGAAAACGACCTGGGTGTTTGGGCTTCTGCGCTGGGACGTGTTGCTCATGGCGGCGTTTGTCGTCCAGGCGGTTCTATGCACGGCCTTGTCCTACACCGTATCGCTTCCAAACATGTACATCAATGACGTGTATTTCCTCACGCTTGACTTGATCGGCTACCGGAGCGGCCTTTTAGCCTTTTCGTTGATGCCGGTGGTGTTTGTCTTCGGTCTCCGCAACAACCCTTTTTGCTGGATGACGGGGCTCCCGCAGGCCAATTTCATCACCTACCATAAGCTAGTAGCCCTTGTGATGTCGCTCGAGGCCTTGGTGCATTCTGCCGTGTGGACGGCATACGCCATAAGATCTGGCGGCTATGCTGCATGGGGCATTGACGACTACTGGAGATGGGGCGTGGTGGGCACGGTTTTGGTGTTTGTGATGCTAGGCCAGAGTGTGGGCTTGATCCGCAACCTCATGTACGAGCTTTTCTTGGTGGTGCACAAGCTTTTCGGCTGGCTCTTCATTGTGTCCATGTGGTACCACTGCAATATTCTCGGTTGGATGGGCTGGGTGTACTCGCTCATTGCCTTCACCGCGTACGACCGCGTCATCCGACTTTTCAAGACGTTCTTCATCAATCGTGGCTACACGAAGATCCAAATGACCATGGTGGACAGAAGAGTCATCAAAATGACTGTGCCGAAATCCGAGCTTCACAATGCTTTCTACAAGCCGGGGTCGCATATCTTCATCTCCTTCTATCACTGGCCCATCTGGTACCAGTGTTTCCAGTCGCATCCATTCACAATTGTCAATTCGCCCGTAGAATCGGAGGGTGTTTTTGTGATCTACATCCGAGTCAAGAAGGGGACCACCTGTGTCCTTGCAAAGCTTAAAGGTGACGAGAAGGGTCGGCTTTCAATGTGGCTGTTGATCGAGGGCCCTTACGGAAACGGTGTTCCCACTTTCAAAGACAACGAGCAGCTTGTTGGTATTGCTGGTGGTCTTGGAACCTGTGCTTTGCTTGCTACATTCCACCATAATCCCCGTGGATCCGTGCTCTACTGGGCAGTGAACAACATGGCGGACATCGAATATTTGCGTCGCGACTTGGAGCACTTGATCGCCAAGGGCACAGATGTCCAAGTATTTCTTACCAGGGATAAGGGGGAAGATGACTACTCGATCGAAAAGGAATACAAGTACGTGTCCGTTTTAGGCGAGAGACCCAATACGGACGAATGGGTACGTGCTGGCTTAGAACTTGGAATCGTGGCAAAAAAGACTGATACATACGTGCTCTCATGCGGGCCGGGAGCGATGGATAGCGATGTGCAGAAGAGCGTCAGCGAAAATACTGTAGTGGGCCTGGAGCATTGTCTCCATTACCAGAGAGAAAATTACCAATGGTGAGGCTTGCGCGTATCATTATTAGACCTGCAATATTCCACATACATGACCCACTGAACAAACCCCAAAAGAAAAATTGGTGATTGTCAGATTATTTATCACATCTGGTCGTAGAAAGCTCTAATTAACTTCAAAATTGAAACATGCCAGCGAAGACACGGTCAACGACCCGCCCAGTAGTCAAAATACCAAGGCCTTGCGCCATAAGCAGGCCTTGAGGCACGGGTCTGCATATGTTCTTCAAATCTCAATATTCATCACAAGAGCCAGACACCTCGTATTACCGGGATTTCTCCGCCAAAAAAGGCAATGTCTTCTACGCCATTCTCACAGGTGGTATACCTTGTGGGGTCTCAAGTTGCGACCAAGGCAGTGACTTTTGCCTCAAATCAAGTGCTTCTTCGACGCATCAGTCCGGAAATCTTCGGTATTGCAACTTACCTTGAGTTCCTTGTGAACACTGTGATATTCTTCAGCAGGGAGGCTGTGCGGATAGCCAATCAACGGGCAAATTCCGAGAAGACCATTGTAAATTTTGCATACTTGCCTGTTATTCTATGTGGGCCGATACTAGCGGTGCTTATGTATCTCCAGACATATTCTGACTTATACCAAAACACAGTAGTCAGGCTACCTTACATTGGCTTTACGATATCGCTAGTGATTGGACTGATTTTACTTGAATTGTGTGCTGAACCATTTTTTGCTTTGAACCAGCATAAACTAAACTTCAAGCTCCGGTCTCAAGTAGAGAGTCTTGCTACTTTCTTGAAATGTGTTTCCGTATTTGTGGCTGTGGCCTGGTGGCAGAAAAAACAGAACACATATATGGCGAGCCCTGATCTATTTAAAGGCCAGGCTGTTTTGTCGTTCGCCGGCGGTCAATTCGTTTACGCAGCTGTGCTATTTTCTGGATACTGGCTTGGATCCAAATCCGGAATTCCCAAATATACCAAGGCTGAAGCAACAAACATGTTCGACCAGAATTTATTATCTGTCTGGAGGCTGTTATTTCTGCAGATGATTTTTAAGCATCTTCTCACCGAAGGCGACACAATGCTTATAAGCTATTTGTTTACTGTGGCCGAGCAAGGCGTGTACTCAGTAATTGCCAACTATGGCTCCATGATAGCCAGATTGTTATTCCAGCCTATTGAAGAGCTGGTACGAGTGTCATTCACGAGATCTATTGCTCAAAAAGATGTGGATGTTACAAGTTTAAATCAGACAATGTCACAGCTCATGACCTTTTACTTTAACCTCTCTCTACTCATCGTGATTGGAGGCTATACAAACGGCTCTTTTTTACTACAGGTACTTCTAGGGAAAAGCGAAAAATGGCTGCAATCAAGTGTTTTTCACGAATTCCCAATGTACATGCTATACATCCCTTTCATGGCGTTTAACGGAATTTTGGAGGCGTTTTTCAGCAGTGCATCCACTCAGCAGCAAATCGGTCAATTCTCCCTTTTTATGTCCTTTCTGAGCGTGTTTGTATTCACAACCATGTACGTTTTAATAGGGAAACTAAAGATGGGTATCAGAGGGTTGATTTTTTCCAATATGATCAACATGTCCTTGAGAATCGCCTATTGCCTCTTGTTTTATGTGAAGTACTTCAAGAAGTTCGTCACAATCACACCAGGAGCCGTAGTGAAAAAACTATTTCTACCTATGGGTCTTGTGTTCGGTGCCCTTTTCGTACAGAGGGTACTATTTCACAATGGAATGTCATCTACACCAATGGAATTTTTTCAAAGTCTTGTCATTTGTTTATTCTGTTTAGCGGGTATGATAGTCAATGAAAGGCAACAACTTGTGTTTGCGTTTGGAAGGTTGACTCGGAAAGACAAACATGAATAAGATGTGTCAGACGACGAATTACGAATAATCCATGAATATATAAACTTAATATCGAAGACTGGTTTTTTCTAAAAATTAAAAAGAAAAAATAATGGAGTTGCAGCTTGTACTTGCTGATCTATACCAAAGCCAAAGGACGTGCCATCCACTTCGCCTCCACCACGGGTAGCCTACTGTGCTGAATTGCTTCCCTCCAGTGATGATGCTACTCATTGCTGACGATTGATTTGCTGATTACTCGAGCAACCTGAAAGTCGACCGCAGGGATCGAACTGGACACTTCCAATGTAGTAGAGATCCACAAGAGAACCGCGCGCTTCTGCCAAGTGCCGTTACAGCGTCAATTTTTAATTTTGATGTCTATATACAGCCCATCACTAAATAGAAAAAGAATATTTTTACTGCATGATACGCACGGTGTCTTTTAGCACATTTTCCAAAGGAATTAGAATGAGCGAGATACTTGCAAATTGCCCGGCTGCAGGGCCAGAGAGGAGAAGATCAACAACATGAAAACACTCCCTGAACTGTTTTCACAAGCTCCTCGGTGATCACATCTGATAAACCGATGATAACAAAAAAAAAGACATCCAAGAAGTCAAGATTTATTTCATATATGGCAGAGATGTTCTAAATGAACCCATGTTTTTGAGAAGACCTTCAGAATGGGCCCTGGCCTGGTCACCTGATTCGACGTTGCAGTTTTTTATAGTTTTCATTGATAGTTATAACCCCTGGCGCAACTCCACGTCGGTACACCTCTATAGACCAGCCCCGTGGCAATTGCCCATAGAAAAAATGAAACATGACTAGGTAAAATCTTTAGAAACCCGGAAAATTAAAATAAACCATACAACCGACTTGGGGATCTCCACACATACATGATCTATGTGCACACCCGGATCATACTGAAATCTGTTAAGAGGTTTTCCTGCGAAGAGCTTTCCTTCCCCAGACAACATCAAAGAAATTGCTGGCTATCGGCATACTTTTGAATTCGAAACATATTTACCAACAGAGTGTATCTCTAAATCGGCACGATGCTGTTTGCAGAGGTCTCCAAGTCAATGGGAGAATTGGCTACTGCTATATCCAAGAAACATCAGGAACTTGACCAATTGAAGAATGAGTACGAAAGGAAGCTACGGCTACTTGACCAGTACTTATCACATCTACCGACAAACAAACAGTCCAAGCAGGATGTATCGGGATTTGTCGAAAACATACAAAACCTCAAAAGTCCAGTCACGTGCCCTCATTGCAACAACACTTTATTTGATTTGCTACAAGACACTGATTTCGTCATAGTTCCCAAAGACCGCCTCAAAGCTTTTTCTGTGGATTTATCTGGCGCAGAAAACCTGCGAGTGGTTGACAAGCCTGGAATCCTAGTTGCGCCACCTACTGGAAGCTCTCCGATACTACAACAGCCCAGCGCACACAACCAGAGCAGACTGAAAAGAACATGCTCTTACTGTCACAAACCTGGCCATTCGAGAGCCAAGTGCTTTACGAGATTAAATCGAGAACCACCACATCAAAGAAGTCAGGCTAGTTCAACAGAACAAAAAAATACATTATCGTAATATACACATGCAAAACAGAGCCACGGGACGATAAGCCCTGCTCAAAATCCCTTGCATTATTTTCCTCCTTGAACCATGGCCTCTATAATTGGTGTTAGTAGTGTTCTCGTACACATCTTTCCTTGTTTGTTTTCGATAATCACGTACCTCTTCTGGATGCATCTTGTAGCAAAGTGCAGTCAACACTGCTGGCACTCAAATGCACATATCTGACTGTAGAGCCTCTGACAAACAAAGTCTTGACAGCTTTCAAGTGGGGGTATTTTCCTTCGTTGACTGTGGAAATGTTGTCCAACTTCAAGTTCAAAAACTGGTCGACAGACTTCAAGGTGCCCTTTATCTCGAGGTCATTTTTCAACTCTACAACAACCTCCTGGTCAACTAGCGTCTTGAAGAAGCTGAAAAACAACATTTTAGAAGGTTTGTTGGTTTTACAGGTAACTGGGGTCTCGCTGCGTCCTCTACAAGTGAGCCTAGAGCGTGAGAATTGGTGGTTGGACGACCATACAAATTTGGTATGCGAAAAGGAGAGGGCGCACTGGGAACGAGATTTAGAAGCATGGGGCGAGAATGCACTTGCATTAGATACTATGAGGGATCTCAACTCTAAGACTAGCCATTCCCATCATTATCCGAACAGTTGCGAATGCCGTTGAGGATCAACACCTCATGATCGGAACTGAGCATGGTCAAGGGCGACAGGCGTAGACTCGAGGTGTGCAGGGACTGGTTTCTGATACGCGGCTTATAGGAGTCGAGCTTGTCCTTGAACACGCGGAAACTGGAGTCGGAAATGCCGCTATCGCTCAAGTCAGCGTATGTGTATAATTTCTCGCGGCGCGTAGTTTGTCTAGTGTTGTCTCTTTGCTTGAACCCATGCTTACACCGTGCGATGGGTGGGTGAAGATTCCTCATAAGATTTGGCCGCATGGCCACGGGGTGGTCCATGACATGGAGCTGTAAGGGTGTAGAAGTGCGTATGGTCTCTGGGAAAACGATGGGCACCGGGAGCGACAGGTAGCATTCGTAGGGGTTTGCGAGGTCGGCGTCAATGAAGTCATCAAGCTCGATTGTGGTGTTCTCGTATTCTTGCATGGCGCGGTGGAGTCTTTCCTGGGACGACTGGAACGGGGTATGGTTGATGTTCATGGGCTCGGCATCGCCGCTCATGAACAGGAACGAGCTTCCAAGATTGGGCGAGTCGTCAAGAAAGGGCAACAGGTTCTCCTGCGCGATGACGAAGCCCGGGCTGATGTTCTCGGGTGATGCGTAGCCATGGTCGGGCAAGCACAATCTGTCATCCAACGGAGAAATCATCTGCGGGACGGCGGAAGGCGCCCGGTCGTAGGGTAGCCGCAGCGTCTCCCTGTCCTGGCGGGGGCCTTCTAGTAGCATGGGGTCCAAGGCGTCCGCAGTGTATGAGTTGAGAATGTTTTGGTTGGAGCCGAGCACGGGCCTGGGAGGCTTGGAGGCGGGCTTGGTTTTTCTTTTCTTGGGGCAGGCCTGGTTCTCGGCATCGTGCTCCGTCTCGGCGTCTTCGTGGATGACCAAGTGGGCCACGCTGGACCTTGCGCACGGCTTCTCCGGCTTCTCCAGCCGCGAGTCCTTTTTCTCGCAGATCGGGTAGTTTGACGGCGAGCGGCCGCGGACTATCAAGGGCGGCGACTGCGAGGAAGCAAGCACCACGTGCAGCCCCAGGTCCGTGACGCCGAGGAGCTGCACCACGAGCACATAGTGCTTGTTGTTGGTGCTGGCCAGCTTGCGGTTGCCGCAGCCCGCAGACAGAAACTGGATGCGCTCATAGCGCGCCACGAGCGAGATGTCGCAGTCCCTCGGGTACGTGGCAAGCACGCAGTGAGGGCTGGACTCCGCGGCGCGCTGGTGGTCCTCCTTCAGGAGGTAGAAGAGCCGGTTGCACCGGTCGATCTTGTCGCCGTTGCGGATGTTGGCCACCAGCTTCATGGTGCTGTGCGCCGGCAAGTCGCCCGGCACGGCGTAGTACAACGGTGGCGAGCTCTGCGGGCCCCGGTCCCGTTTGGCCGTGTGCTGGACAAGTGTCACGGCCGTGGAACTGTCCTCGAGGCACACGGACGTGAGCAGGATTTTGAAGGCGCGGACGGGCCGCGGCTCGCCCGCGCCGTCCACGTACGAAAACGACTCGGTGGCCGTGGCGTCCGGCGGGAGGTCCACGAACTGGAACGCGGCCACCAACGTGAAGTAGTTTCGTTTGTACCCGATCCACTCGCCGTCGATCATGTCGAACCCGCGGTCGAGCCGGGCAGATATTCGCGGCTCCACGTGTTCGTGTCCCGAGGCAACAAGACGAGCGCCGGCGGTAGTGGCCGAAAACGGCGGGCCGACCCGGAACTGGTTACTGGAGCGGGGCGCCAAACGGCGCTGGTTTAGAGACGCGCCCTCGGGCGGGGCCGGGGCCTCCCGGGCGTCTGGGGCAGGGGTGGGCGACATTTCGGGGAAATCCGGGACGATGCCAGTGCTGGCGGGAGCGTTTTGTGTTATCATGGCGGGTTGCTGGTGGGTGCAAAAAACGGTGGTTTCCAGGTTCGCAAGCGCTGGGGGTGTTGCAGCCAGGGCGCGGCGCGGCCACTATGAGCGTGTTGGGCCGCGCACGACCACCATGGGGACCATGCTGCGGGTGCGAAAGATGGTAAGGATGCGGCAGGTATATGCGACCGGGGAGACTGGTTCCGAGGGGCCGTGAAAGGCATTGTGGGTGGCCTGAGATGTTTTGATTTTTGGGAGGAAAGAGGGTGATTTTTTGGGAGAAATGAGGATGATTTTTGGCAGGAAATGAGTATGATCTTTTAGGTACCATGCCGAAGACAAGGCTGACGAGATTCACGATGATAGGGAAGACATTGCTGAAGATGACCAGGAATGGTATCATGCACAAGATGTTCGAGAATGGCGCCATAAACAAGACGATCAAGAGGAGTATCATAAAAGATGATCCAGAAAAACGCCGTAAAATGAATGACCAAAACCTTTCTCAATGCGAAAGACGATCAAAAGCCAGCTATGCACCATACTAGAGATGTATACCAACTGGTCCTTGCATCCATGCGCAACCTGTCAGCTCCGCGATCATTGAGGGCAAAGGAAAGGCAATCTGGAAAATATTTCAAGATTTTACGAGCTTTGCATTTTTGCACTGGATACGGCGATAACGACGTGGGCCATAAAAGGAATTTGATTCCAACAGCTTGCTATCACGGATAGATCAGCCGGGGTTGGGGTTCCACGGCTGATTTATAATTTATTGATTACTCGGGGTATCCCTCCTTTATTCGAAGGCATGGTTGTAGCCCATGAAAAGCCCCGTATCCACTGCAAGTATGCATTATTTTGACGTCAAGGCTTTGATCGCAATTGTGATGGACCGCATAAAGTACTCCACCTTATGAAGAGACTTTTACACACTGATGGCACTTCAAGGTAATCAATATGCAATAGTGCCGAACAGCATTTGACTAAATTTGAGGGTCTTTTTAAGAAGATAAACATGTCTCTCTTTTTTTGGTAGGACCTATTGCCTTCGGTAATATGTCTTGGATTTCAATATAAGCTATAATCAGGTTTTTGGCAATAAAGACAACGCCAAATGTTTTGTCAGGGGCTCACCAGAATCGGCGTCTGCAAGAGCCACAAGAGCACCAATAAAGAAAAGAAATCCAGTGGAGGTAGCTCCAGGATGTTACTACTTATGTTTTGTGGAAGCTTCTTGAGCCATGGATAATAGCGTGTAAAGACCTACAGATAGGTAACCGGCAATCAGAAGGTATTAACTAGGATTATACTGCCTAAAGCCGAGAGTGCTCAAACAGCCGCAGAGCAATTCAAATGTCTCATGAATAACCACTGGTTTTATTATCACCAAAACCCCGGTCCATGAAAACGAGACAGCTGCGATAACGGCAAGTCAATACTTGATTGCTGCCAGAACACTACCAACCTGAATGTCTGTCACAAGGTATACAGAAATTTCCCGGACTCACCAAGCCGCAGATGTTGGCCATGTTTGGACCACATCTCCAGAAAAGTGAAAAATCTTTTCAATAAAATAATTGTCGATCAATATTCATATACAACACACAGTAGACTAGCAGAAGTCCAGGCTGGTGGCATTCGATCTTCCCTGATAGACTACACCAAAATGAGGCATGGAGAAAAGTAAAGCCTCAAATTTATTTATTGCCCTAATCTCCTGTGCGCAGCAAAATGTTTGTCGTTGTCTCGGGCTTGAACTCTGTATCTCTGCCTCCATATCTATTTCAATCTCTTCTTCTTTCGTCAGTCGTCTGTATGCATAACATATGGAAATAGTACAGTTGATTTAGCACAGAAAGTCGGTCAATACGAAGGCTCATTTTCACAAAAGAAAAAAAAGTTTTGCCGCAAAGAACGAATATCAAGTACTCTTGATTTAATCTCTCATCACGGGACAACTTCATATAGCTGACATAAGCAGACTCTGTCGTGACAAAGACAATATACCACCCTCCTCTTTTCCTTCTCACAAATGATTGAAAGCTAAATTTTTGGAATCGATCCATATCCTAGATGACAGTAAATGGTTTTTGATGGTGTCTCATTTGAATGCCCTCAAGTACGATAATGATTAGATCTTTTGTAATAAATCCACATGTTTGTTTCGTTCCTCATGTGTGTTGGTAGCATGTACTTTCTTGTGTGTAGTATAAGAAAGCAGAGTATATATAGAGAGATGCAAATTGTGAATTCAACATAGGTGCTACCAGTCATCCAACTTGACAGAAAGCTTGGTACTATATCGTACTGAAATTCTTCTTTTCGTGAGCGGGGAACAAGTTTTTGGGAGCTGAGTTCAGTTTCTTGAAGTAGATGTATTATTTACTGATAAATTAGCCCCGTGTCTTATTAATGGGAAACCTTTGGCGAAATTTCCCCATCGCAATTCGAAATGTGCATTCAAAGGCTACATACGCATTAACGCAGAAACTACGTCAAGGTTACAGTAATGCTTTGTGAGTTTTACGGGCTTCATTTGCGGCTCAATGAGATCTGAATGCTAGGATTTTGACGCTCGACTGCTGTGAAAACAGAGTATTATTCGATAAGTTATAGTCTTTGCTCTCTCAAGTACACATCTAGGACATCATGAATAAGTGACCCTTTGAGGTAGTAGTGACACGCTAATCACTTCCCTCTTGACGCTTGAGAGGAGGGGACTAGCCAGCGAGCCTGTTGTGGCAAATGGCGAAAAAGGCACATAACAAATTAGCCAATATATGTTCATGTTGGATAGAAGCTGAAAGGAATGAGCGTACATCTGTTAACGTGAAATGTAACTAGCATGCAAGTTGAAGTAGACACGAAAATGATTCAAACCAAAACAATAAAAAGGTAGAGACCTCGAAGGGAACTAGGCAGTAATTCTCAAACGTTGCTACAAAGACATGACACCAATTTGGATTTTATCTGTGGCGGGCCAAGAGCCGAACCCAAATATCCCAAGCCAAATAAGCCCAGTTCGAGTGACCAAGAATTACAGATGACCCAGATTTACAGATTTCCAAGGGTTACAGACAGATATCCCGGTATTACCAGTAACCTAGAATAACAGCCGAGAGGTATAAATATCCTAGGATTACAGATATCCCAGTCTTACCAGTAACCCAGAATTACAGCATAGAGTTACAAATACCCCATCATTACAGATACCCCATCATTACAGATATCCCAGTATTACCAGCAACCCAGTATTACAGATATCCCAGATATCGCAGTATTACCAACAACCTAGAATTACAGATATTCCAGAGTTACAGATGTCCCAGTATTACAGATGTCCCAGTATTACAGATATTCCAGATATCCTGTGATTATAGACATCCCAGAGTTACAGATATCCCAGAGTTACAGATAACCCACTATTACCAGTAGCCCAGTATTACAGCCCAGAGCTGCAAATATCCTAGAATAACAGATACCACAGTATTACAGATATCCCAGTAATACAGATATCCCAGTATCACAGATATCCCAGATATCCTAGAATTACAGGCATCCTAGAATTACAAATATCCCGGGAATACAGATATCTCAGTAATACAGATATCCCAGATATCCTAGAATTACAGGCATCCTAGAATTACAGACATCCTAGAATTACAAATATCCCAGACTTACAGATATCCCAGTAATACAGATATCCCAGTATTACAGATATCCCAGTATTACAGATATCCCAGTAATACAGATATCCCAGATATCCTAGAATTACAAATACCCCAGAGTTACAGATAACGTTAGTATGACAAATAGCTCCATTACAGATGTCCAGGGTTGCATATGTGTTTAGTCGGGCCCCGTCTCCCAATTCCAGGCACATGGCGGGTACTGCACAGAGGGGCCGGAGGACTAGTTGAGCACAGGCATTTTGACCGCGCCACACTCTAAATTTCTAGATTCGCGTGAAGCAGGCCGGCCTAGCACCAGTGCAAGTGACTCAGAAACAACCAGGAAAACCAGAGACTTGCACGCGGCGACGGCGGAGGGGGCCGGCGGGCAGGCGCTGGCCACGTGACGCGGCCGGGCCGTCTCTGCGCACGCCTGCACAGGGCGCGCATCTCTGCGCACCGTCTCAGAGCCGTTTTTCAGCCAGAGAAGCATCGGCAAAAGAACCACGCAGCCTCCACCTCAGACACACCAAATGGGCAAGAAAGCCATCGACTCCAGGATCCCGGCGCTCATCCGCAACGGGGTGCAGGAGAAGCAGCGCAGCTTCTTCATCATCGTCGGCGACAAGGCGCGCAACCAGCTCCCCAACTTGCACTATCTCATGATGAGCGCGGATCTCAAGATGAACAAGTCGGTGTTGTGGGCGTACAAAAAGCAGTTGTTGGGCTTCACGTCGCACCGCAAGAAGCGCGAGACCAAGATCAAGAAGGACATCAAGCGCGGCATCCGCGACGTCAACGACCAGGACCCCTTCGAGGCGTTCATCTCCAACCAGAACATCCGCTACGTCTACTACAAGGAGACGGAGAAGATCTTGGGAAACACCTACGGCATGTGCGTTTTGCAGGACTTCGAGGCCATCACGCCCAACTTGTTGGCGCGCACCGTCGAGACCGTCGAGGGCGGCGGCGTGGTGGTGATGCTCTTGAAGAACATGGCGTCCTTGAAGCAGCTCTACACCATGACCATGGACATCCACGCGCGGTACCGCACGGAGGCGCACGACGACGTGGTGGCGCGCTTCAACGAGCGCTTCCTCCTCTCGTTGGGCTCGTGTGAAACGTGCTTGGTCGTGGACGACGAGTTGAACGTGTTGCCCATCTCCGGCGGCAAGCACGTCAAGCCCCTCCCGCCCGCGGACGACGACGAGCGCACGCCCGCGCAGAAGGAGCTTGCTGCGTTGAAGGCCTCGTTGGCCGAGGTGCAGCCCGCGGGCTCGCTCGTGGCGCTCGCGCGCACGGTCAACCAGGCGCAGGCCATCTTGACGTTCGTGGACGTGATTTCCGAGAAGACGTTGAGTAGCACGGTGGCGTTGACGGCGGGCCGCGGGCGCGGCAAGTCCGCGGCGCTCGGCGTGGCCATTGCGGGCGCGGTGTCGCACGGGTACCTGAACATCTTCGTGACGTCGCCGCTGCCCGAGAACTTGCGCACGTTGTTCGAGTTCATCTTCAAGGGCTTCGACGCGTTGGGCTACACCGAGCACTTGGACTACGACATCGTGCAGCTGACCAACGCGGCGTTCCACAAGGCCATTGTGCGCGTGGACGTCAAGCGGGCGCACCGCCAGACGATCCAGTACATTGCGCCCGGCGACGCGCACGTGTTGGGCCAGGCCGAGTTGCTCATCATCGACGAGGCCGCGGCCATCCCGCTCCCCGTGGTGCGCCGGCTCTTGGGCCCGTACTTGGTGTTCATGGCGTCCACCGTCAACGGCTACGAGGGCACGGGCCGCCTGTTGTCGTTGAAGTTGATCCAGCAGTTGCGTGACCAGGCCGGCTCGCGCAACGACGACACGCAAGTGGTGTCCCGTGACAGCAGGCCCGTGGACGGCGCGCGGGCCGCCCGCACGCTCCGCGAGGTGGTGTTGGACGAGCCCATCCGGTACGCGCCGGGCGACCCGGTGGAGCGCTGGCTCAATAAGCTCTTGTGCCTCGACGCCAGCCTCTCGAAGAACGCCCGCCTCGCCTCCAAAGGCACGCCGCACCCGGCGGACTGCAACCTCTTCTACGTCAACCGCGACACGCTCTTCTCGTACCACCCGGTGTCCGAGGCGTTCTTGCAGAAAATGATGGCGCTCTACGTGGCGTCGCACTACAAGAACTCGCCCAACGACTTGCAATTGATGAGCGACGCGCCGGCGCACCAGTTGTACGTGCTCTTGCCGCCCGTGGACCCCGCCAGCACGCGCATCCCGGACCCGCTCTGCGTGGTGCAGTTGGCCTTGGAGGGCGAGATCTCCAAGGAGAGCGTGCGCCGCTCCTTGGCACGCGGCCAGCGCGCCGGCGGCGACTTGATCCCGTGGTTGGTGGCGCAGCAGTTCCAGGACGACGAGTTTGCCTCCTTGAGCGGCGCCCGCGTGGTCCGCATCGCCACCAACCCGGACTATGCGGGCATGGGCTACGGCTCGCGCGCGCTCGCCTTGTTGAAGGACTACTTCGAGGGCAAGTTCACGGACATCTCCGAGGCCACCACCTTGGGCGACCACACGCTCGCGCGTGTCTCGGACGCGGAGTTGGCCGGCGCGTCGCTCAAGGACGAGGTGCGGCTCCGCGACGCCAAGTCCTTGCCGCCGTTGTTGTTGAAGTTGCTGGAGAAGGCGCCCTACGCCTTGAGCTACTTGGGCGTGTCCTACGGCATGACGCCGCCGTTGCACAAGTTCTGGAAGCGTGCGGGCTTCGTGCCCGTGTACTTGCGCCAGACCGCCAACGAGTTGACGGGCGAGCACACCAGCGTGATGCTCCACGTGTTGGCCGGCCACAGCGACGCGTGGCTCCGCGCGTTTGCGCTCGACTTCCACAAGCGCTTCTTGCACTTGATGTCCTACGAGTTCCGCAAGTTCCCGGCGGTGCAGGCGCTCAACGTGATCGAGTCCACGGGCACCGTTGCCGCGCAGCCGTTGGACCGCCGCGCCTTGGACAGCCAGATGTCGCCGTTCGACTTGAAGCGCTTGGACTCCTACGCGAACAACTTGTTGGACTACCACGTGATCTTGGACTTGATGCCGCTCGTGGCCCACGCGTACTTCTCCCGCAGCGCCCCCGGCGTGTCCTTGTCCTCGGTGCAGGGCGCCATTCTCTTGGCCGTGGGCTTGCAGCACAAGTCCATCGATGACGTCAGCAAGGAGTTGGGCCTCCCGGCCTCGCAGGCCATGGCCATGTTCTCCAAGATCGTGCGCAAGTTCTCCACGTACTTCCGCTCCGTCTTGAGCAAGCACATCGAGCAGGCCATGCCGGCGCTCGAGGACGACGACGTCAACGACATGAACGGCGACGAAACCATCGCCGGCAAGTACGACGCGGCGGCCACGGAGGCCGCCATGACCCGCGACTTGGACGCGGCCGGAGACGACGCCGTGTCCGAGTTGAAAATGAAGCAGAAGGAGTTGATCAACGCGCTCAACTTGGACAAGTACGCCATCAACGACAACGCCGAGGAGTGGGACGACTCCGCCGCCGAGAAGGCCGTCGCCAAGCTGGGCGTCGCGAGCATGAAGAGCAAGAACAAGCGCAAGAGCGAGAGCGCGGACCAGATCTACGAGAGCGAGATCAAGAGCTCGACGAAGAAGAGCAAGAAGGGCAAGAAGGGCAAGTAGCCGCCCGGCCGCCGCGGCGCGCGGGCTGGGTGGCAGCACCTGTCGAATACATAGATCTAACTACACCGTCCGTTCCGCTCGCTGCCGCACGCTCGCTGTCTACGTACGTGGGCCCTGCCTTGTCGCTTTGGCAATGCTTTCCACGGCCAACGCGACAAGTTGCGGGAGGTCCCGGCCACCATCATTGCGGATATCGCTGATCCCCATCTGCGTTGCCGACTCGGCAAGAGACGACTCGACGTTGCGTTCACTGAACAAGTGTCCGTGGGACTCTACATACGCGGGCCACACGATCTTATCGAAGTACCCCGGCGGGTCGCTCCAGAACCCCTCAACTGTGTTGTATCCCTGTCGCAGCTCACGGCGTTTTTTAAGCGTGGTGTACGGGGCCCGGAAGAGGATTTTCACGTCCAACAACGCCGACACGGACGCGTCATGGAAGAGCATAAACCCATCCACAAGGACCACGTGACAGTCGCGGAGCCACGGGAAGTCGCCGCATATGCGGGCCCGAAGTGTTTTTCTTTGTTGCTCGGACAATGAAAGCTCCAGCTCCATCTCGAGTGACTCTACTGGCAAAAGTGCTCCATTGGAAGCCCGCACAGACTCGAGATGCCCTTTGAATTTCTCCCAGTCGAGAGCCTCTGCGCAGTCCCAGTTTTGTACGCCATGCTTCTTATCAATGGGAATCTGGGAATCTGGGAGGTAGAAGTCATCCAAATGGATCTCAGTGCATCGGGGCAACACGCTAACTAAGCCCTTCACGACGGTCGATTTTCCCGAGGAGGACGGCCCGCTTATTCCTACAAGAACGAGCTTCATTGTGAGCAAATACTTGAGTCTAGGGACGCAAAGATCAGTCAGTGGTTGGGGATTCTAGGCGATTGGGGCGTTCAGAGAGGAAGTCGCGCGTCTTGGGGAATCCCGCGATTAGAGATGGCGATTATCATCGGACTGCATCGCAGAATGCACGACTGTTGTGCAGAATACATGAAGAGAAACAATTGAAAAAGTGTTTTTTTCATGAGGTTGCTGACCTTTTGAGCGGGGCCTTGTCAGCCCAGAGAACACTCCGCATAACGTTTTTTTTTTTTTTTGTTTGTAACGCCTGATTTCCTTCATACCCGGGCTCAGTTGCATAATGGGCGTGAATAGTATTCTTTTCAACCTATTGTTCCCTGATCGATCTAATCTTGATGTTGCAATTTCGGCCTATTGTAGAAAAGCTGCGCATAAGCCTGGAAATTGTGGTTTCTTTAAAAGTTTGACTGAATATAATGTATGCCGTATGTGCATGTTCTCGGACCTCTTCCTTTACGTTGAGCGGAGGTAAGCGAGGTTTCAGATTCAAACTCCTTTCAGTCAAACATTCTCAGGAGCTGTGCCAGCCTGTCTTGTGCTATTGTTGCGATAAGATGCCCCCTCCTTGAAGCTCGTACTCTATTCAGGTCGTTGGTTTGTAACTATTTGCCGTCACATCTACTTTGCCCCTGTTGGCTTTACACTGTGGCTCTTACCAACGCGCAAATTATAGAGTGTCTTCAGAGTATACGCCTAAGATCAGCCACCTTTCACCAGAGCACTTGAGTGGCCCCGGTTCTGTGTATATCCCTCAAATATTCCACTGTTTTAGTTTTGATTTTAGTTCTTGCGCGCCAAGCATGTGTCATCTACAAGACTTGAAACTCGAGCAGCCCAGGCCTTATTGTTTCTTGCTGAGATTTTAGCAACCTCGGTCTTATCTTCTCTTGCTCTTGCGGGACAAACCGAGCCCTATTGTTCTAGAGCGATTTATCCCCGCAATACGCATGAGTCAAATAGGCGTTCGGCATTTTCTGAAACAAATTTTTGCGCGAGCAGGATACAATCTGCTGTCTCGATTCTTGAAGGTTTCTTCACTTTATCTCAAATGGTGGTTTGAGACGCTCTTCAATGAATCTACATGCATATAGCGTTTCAAAGCCACAAGATTTACACGCGGCTGCACGGGGTATTCGCGTCATGACGCGTATTGCCATTTTTGGATGAAAAAGGCCTGCGACTCACTCTCAGCGGTAATTTTTGCATCCAGATCTTGCACGTGGCACACGACACTTATTCTTTGTTTCCAAATCTGGTGTCCGCAGAATTGATCCCTGTGTCTTTTTTAAAAATTGCTTGGAATGTTTTCCAAGACCTTCCTGTTTCAGATTTGTTTTTCTTAATAACATACCACCTCGGCTAATCTTCCAGGGAAAGCCCCTCGAACTTCCGCTTACAGTTCCACTAGATGTCACGACAGTCAAGTGTCTCAGCTGAAAGCGAGTATAAGCCTTATCTACCTGCCTCCTTGGAAAAAACCCTCGAAAATCTATTCTTTGCACTTGCACGCCTGCAGTTTGAATCATTTTCGAGTATTTGTCTCTCGTGGTGAAAGCTCAATACATGGTCTGAGGAAAAAACTCCAAGCTTTCTTTCAGGCTAGAAATCGTGATACAAACTCTAAAAGGAAAACGATATTTTTCATTTTTGCGTTTAAGAAAATCAAACCTGCACTCAAATTCTGAGCCTCCTTTATATCACCAAGGTTCCTTGCATTCAAATCGATACATTGCGAATTTTCATGATCTCAGACTGCAAAGATATGTCCAGCAGTCAAAAGGCGGAATCTCCACGGCCGTTTCTGCCAACCCGTAGACACTCAAACTTTGAAGACCAAAAATCATACCATGCAGACCTCAAATCAACTTTGAGATTGGAACAGAGTTCTCTCTGTGAATCCCTTGAAAAAGAAAAACCCCATGAGAGAAAATCTTCAAAGTCCTCAGAAAGTCTGTCTTACACCAATAGCTTGACATCGCCACTCCCCACACCGGAAGAGTACATTTCAGAGACTATAGAGATCCCGATTCACAAGGCATACAGTGAAACTATCGTCTCGCAGATGCTTTTACTTCGATTTGAGCAAGAAAAAACAAAACAGATTAAAAGCAAAATAGAGCTCGGTCAAATTGTGGCACAGCTTTTGAAAGAGTGCGAAGCTCATGCAATATCCACGCAGCTAATTCATCGTTTGTTTTCGGATGATAATGATGAAATTATCAAAAACAATGTCGAGAAATTGACCCAACAATTTGCTTCTGGAAATACCCCAAAATCCTCAGGTGAGGAAATCAAGACCTCGGAAACCAATAAAATGAATGATATAGTTTCAAAACCAAGCCATGAAATTACAAATCCCATGAACTCTTTGTCAAATCATCCTCAAGCAAGCATTCAAGAAAACTTGTTGCATACTTCGTCTATTGATATCACTCTATTCACGAAAAAGCATCCAGAGAGCAATCCTACACCACTAGGTGATCAAAATGAACTTCTTAAATCTCAAAAGACAGTTTCGGATCCTCAACCCAGAAATTACACTGAAATTAGCTCCAGTGAAACCAAAGAAGAGGCTCTCGAAGTCACGCAGACACTCTTGACCATGGGATCAAAGAATCAATCCGAGAGGCCTGTTATGGCACAGCCGATACTTCCGCTGTACTATCGTAAACATAGTCGTTACTTGCTGCCGCAAGTGGCTTCCGGGTCTCAGCCAAGCCATATTCCCGAGCTGGGGCTGCTTCTACTCTGTCACAATCACTCGAAAATTGGTTTTGACTCTTCATCTCAGTACTTGAAAAATGGAATGCTGTACCGAGAGAAGTACTCTCAGCAAACACTACTCCTGATGAATTCTTCTAGCCAACAACGGAATTATGAGCATCAAGGACAACAATTTCAGCAGCAGATCCGGCCGTTGTACCACGTGGAATCATTAGTACCAGGCGTCGTCCCGAGCACAGGAAACATTGCGACGCTGCTCCTACCTCCACCTTTTACCGTGGGAGCTGGGACGCACTTGCAGCTGTGGGCTGCCACGCCTCTCAATCCACAAACAAGACGACGCCGTCTGGAAGAAGATACACACACCCAAAGAAAACGACGAGGCTCGAAGAATGGCATTGTTTTTATGATTAGTACGCCTAAAAATCCGCCTGCGCAGAAGTACAGCAGATCGTCTGGCAGTTCATGATTAGGCGTGCCGTCCCTAAAGTGAGCACTTAATTATATATTTCCAATTCTTATAGTTTTTTTTTTGATTTTTTGTCTTTCTGATACAGCCTAAAATGAGTGTAATTTGTTTCATTGTCATGGCATCACTACATAAAACTTTCGTTGTCGTATTGATCAAGAATACATAAATATAGCACTATATATAGATTGACCTGCCGAGAGGCAGAATTTGAATTTTCTGCTCGTATTGCCCGCAAATTCATACTAATAGTAAATGCATACTCAAGAGCACTTGCAGATTTTCAGTTTACGCGGTAGTTGGAAGTAGGTTCCAACCAAGATTTTACATTTATGAGCCTTATTGAAATCCTAAACAGTTGAAGATTCTTTTCGCCCAATTTCACCGGTAAGTCTCAGGTGTATATCGGTATATCAGCTCCCATATAGCATATGACCACATGGAAACCCTCAAAGGCAACCGCTCTTCACACCTTCGTAGCTTGCAAAGCAGTTAATTCGCAATTTTCTCCTGCTCCTCCTCCTCGTCAATGAAAGCAGGCAACTTATCGGGAACCAGGTCTGCTGCCAAGTAACTCGGGGTGCCTAAACCAGACTCGTTCATTTCTGCCTCAAAGTCCATTTCCTCGCCCAAAGCATCTAGCTCTGCATCTAACTCCAGCTCGGAAATGTCGTCTGGTGCGTCATAACTCATCAGCAAAGACTCCTGGAGCTCGTTCAGTTTATCTATCAAGTCCAACATTTCGTCCTGCAACTGCTCGATTTTGTCGATATCAATCTTTCCGTATTGCGACTTCAATGCCTTATTTGCCGATTTCATCGCATCCATGGTTATCACGGTATTTTTCAAGTTGTCTGTGGTCATGGACGCCTGGGTCATGTTCCACAGTTGACTCTCCAACTGGTCCTTCTGGGCCTCTATCTGCTTGCGTTGCCTCAACAATTTTAGGGCTTTTTGCTTGAGAGAGCTTTTTCCAGGGCTGTCTCGCATACGGCTTATTTTTTGCTGGTATGTCGACAATTCTGCGTTGATTTTAGAAAGCTTCACGTCAAGCAGGCCCACGCGCTCATCAATAGAGCCGATCGCGTCATTAATGGTAGGTTTTGGGGCAGACGATTTGGAACCAAATAGTCTGTTCATTGTGTGTTTGCAATAGTAGATGTGGAGGTACAATATAAGGTGATTTAAGTGGAGCTAGTGGTGTGTGCTGGGCCTTGTGGAGGGGCTGGTGAGTCTTGTCGCTATCTCTTGGTCAACCTGGGGTAATACACCCGTACACCAGTGATAGAGGCATATTAGTATTATTGCGTTCAAAGGTGTCTGGAGCCTTTCCGTCCGGAACCCTTGACTTGACTTTAGATTGTTTTCCTAGAAATGCCCGAATAATATAGATGCTTTGAGTCTAATAGGGCTTGTATCTTGTATTATTTTGTAGTGAAGTAAGTCGATACTTTGTGACGGGTCCAAAGCCATAAGTCAGCGAAGAAGTCGTCGACTGTAATCTACATTGGTCAACATTTGACACTCACGACTTCCTTCGATCCATGTAAAAACAATTTCCCTAATTTTATGTGCTTTTATATCTAGCCTCTTCACTATGCTCCAGAAACGTGTCTGGTGCCGAGGGCCAGCTTGGAATATCTCCAATCTTATTTCAGTGTCTGAAAAAGCAAAGAAATTCTTTGGTTTCCCCGGTCCAAAGAACATTGGAGAAATAATTACGGTCTCTGGACTTGTAAAAAAAAAATAGTGCATTATGGAATTTTTGTTAGCGCTTTTTGTATGTTCGCTCACTTGATACTCTTGGGAATAATATAAAAATCACAAATCAAAGGGGTCATTTTTTCTTTGTGCGAAGCTCAAATACGTTTTGATAATTGTTCTCGGAAACACCAGCATTTCCTTTTAATGGTGGTCCATAGTATACAATTTCATGAACTAATTCGAATCTGCACTCTCAGAAATATTGAAGTGGCTTGCCTTCCAGGACTAACAGTATGTACGAGTACCAGTCGGCCGCTTCCTTCGACATGATCGAGATTGAAATTACCATTGTTTCAATTAGGCTCACATTAAAAAGTACGCCACCCAAAAACGATGTCTTCAAAGCACAGCCGCTTAGGCTCTGATAAAATAAAGAGACACGAAGTATTGTTTGGAGAAGCGCGTTGCATCTGCTTGGGACGACTCATAACAATAGGTGGCAATCCAAACAAAGGCCAAGAAAAAACAACAACCATTGTAGTTTCTAGACCACGAAAGAGCTTAGAAATTACATTCCAGGAAATCTTGGCCAAGTAGGTGCCTCTGTTCTACACTGCTAAGTACATTATTCTACTGGATTGAAACAATAAGCCATCGGAATCAACAACGGTTAGCCACTGTAATTGAATGAAGTCTCTCTTGGCAAGGCCTGCTCTCTGAAGCAAAGGGGATAAATTGCCCTGAATTGCCTATTCAACTCCAATTTTTGCTGGTTTCATGATATTGAAGGAACACATCTGTACAATAGCCAGTTACTGAACAAGCACTTCGTGCCCCAATCAACGATATTCATTCGGCCTTGTCACGTGAAAGGTGATGCTCCTCACTTGCGGAGACAGATCCGTCTCACTGGCTCAGATCAGAGAACTCATTCCCTGAAAGACACTGGCGCATCGCGCCAACCACGGATGATGTCGTTGAGCCAAAATTCGGCTGCCATAGTTTTTGCCGCTGCAGGCTTACTAACATATCAGGGAAAAGGTATTCCCAAACGTGGCCTGCCTTTGTCTCTCGTTTTGCATCGCACGTCATCGATTGATAGGATCAATCTCTTGCAGAAGTGACTATTTTTATTGTATATATCTGAATAAACGAACAAGACTATGAATCTTTATGAAAAACCAATTAAGCAACTCGTAAAAAGTGATCAGTCGAAAAGGACTCTCGGATACTACCTCTTTCATCTCGCCACATCTTCGAGTGTCTTGAAGATCATGGTGACAAATCAAATCAAAGTCTTTAAGCCTTTCTAAGAGTTCTCGACCGGAGCTCAATTTTTTTTGGTACATTCGTCTAATTAAGGGAACAAAACTATATACTAATATATTTCAATACCTTCAAGCAGCTGCCAGATACGGACTTGCGGAGCCTTTTTTGGTGAAATCTTCTGATTAAGGAGCAGAAATATACAAACGATTTACGTAAAAACCCTTTAAGCAGCTCCCAGATAAGCTTACTTTGGCATTTGTTTTTGGTAGATTCATCTGATTAAAGGGGCAAAACTATATAACGAATATATATAAAAAACCTTTAAACAGCTCCCAGCTACATACCAAGTGTCTTAGCTCGGCCCGTCCCCTTCCGTTAGTCACGGCCTGGACAGTCCTCATGGCACGTATCTGTTTACGTATTGGATATTACGTCATCGACTCCTAGGATAGGTCTCCTGTAGTAGTTGCTTCAACTCAGCTGGTTGTAGCGGACTTAAGGAGCCAACTTCCTGCGACTCGCCTCGCCTTCTGGTGTAGACCTTGAAGATCGTGGTGACAAACCAATTTAATTTTGTTAAGTTCCCCAATGAGTTGTCGGCTGGGGCCAACATTGAGTTCAAGCTCATGGGCTTGGTAAATTTTAGCTCTTGCCACCAGTATTTGGATGTTTCGCAGTTGTTGTAGATATGGCTTAGAAACGCGTCGGTGGCGTCTCCGTTGTTGTGGATTTGTTCTGTGCAAAGATGGCATTGAAAATCTGCTGTGTCGCTCGGTAGGGTCCTGCGCGGGACATATGATCCGTAATTGAAGTGATGGATGGACGAAAGATCGTATCGCTTTATCCATTCTGCCTTATACAAGGCTTTCTATATATATATAAAACCTTTAAGCAGCTCCCATAAACCTTCGCTTTACCGATTTTATTCTAACTTTTTTTTAGAATTTAGGAATTGAAAATTTTATGAAGGAAGTTCTCCCGACAAATATGCACTTCAATAAATCAATGTAACGTTAATATACGAACTAAAACATGAACTTTTGGTTGCGGCCATACCATGCAGGAAGCACTGTTTCCCGTTCGATCAACGTTAGTTAAGCTGCATAGGGCCACACTGAGTAGTGTGGTGGGAGACCATATGCGAAATTGTGGTGCTGCAATCTTTTTACTACTTGATGGAATCATGCGATAACGTTTGTACACTATGAAAGTCTTTTTTTTAGTAGACAAAGAAAGCACAGCATCGACCCATAAGAATTAAGGTGAGGATCCGTGAAGGACGCGCGTTGCGTTCAGTTGGCGACGCAAGACAATGTAGGTAGTGCGCGTCTCAAAGATATACAGGTTTCCAAGCCCGGGAAGCCACTCATATGAACAACGTATGTCAGCACACAACACAGACACAGAAACTTACTTTGAACTTATGCCAACAAGACTGCGTGTTAACAACTGTCACAAAAATACCATATAATATATCCCGGGCCCTCGAAGCGTACCGTATTTCCACTGTGTCATCTGATTTTCTGCGACTCATAACCAAGATATAAAAAAATTAAGCATGAGCTATTTACCAATAGGAAAAGACGATGGCAACCACAACGTGGTGGGAAACCCCGACATGGAGCTCCGGGAGCAAGACCGCTGGCTCCCCATCGCAAATGTTGCACGGCTCATGAAACTGACGTTACCCATGACGGCAAAGGTAAGCAAGGATGCTAAAGAATGCATGCAAGAATGTGTCTCGGAGTTCATATCCTTTATTACCAGCGAAGCTAGTGATAAGTGTCTCCGTGAAAAAAGAAAGACCATCAACGGCGAGGACGTGTTATACTCGCTTCATGATTTGGGGTTTGAAAACTACGCAGAAGTGTTGAAAATCTACTTGGCAAAATACCGTGAGCAGCAGGCGTTGAAACAGGAGCGGGGAGAGGTCCGGGTGTCCAAGAAGCTGGCCAAAAAACGCAAAGCGGCTGAAGAAACGCCGGATTCTGATGGAAATATGGACGAAAGCAGCGCTCCTCTCGATCTGCTAGCGTACTCAGAGTCCTCTGCAAAGGCACTCCACTCGCCCGACTACTTTCAACCTTATGAGCTGGAAGTGAGTGGAATTCCAGCGCCAAGTTACAACACGGTGGATATTAAGCACGATATCGACTTGCACCATGATGTGGCCATAGAAGACAAGCACGCTGAAGAGCCATACCAATATGAGGGGTTTATTCCGGGCCAGAATGACGCTATAGCAAAGGATCCCCATGAAAATGGCCTGAAACCCGAGGGCATTGAGACTATTTCAAGGCTCGCGGGCCAGGACTCGGATATGGAACATTTGGACGACGAGATCCCTCAAAGAGCGTATTACTAGACTTGGAGGGTTTTTGTTTTGTCTATGTATAGTAGGCAACACACTCTATTTGAATAGATACATTAGCTCGTTTGCAGGTTCTTGAATCACTTTGCGTGAAGACACAAGTATCGCTCTCTCGGCAACTTTAATCGGAATGCTCCTCTTTTATGCGAGTGTGAGTACTACAACTTGGTCATGAAGTGCTCAATGAGCGATGGCATTTTCTAAAGCTTCATGCTACTACATGAGATGAAACCTCATCTTAGCTCGTATTTACGTGCACTTGTACTATTTGCGCTGACGACTTTCTCTTCAGACAGAAATAGCAGCTTTTTCTGCAACGTCAAAAAAGCACGCACGCACGGATCTTGGATCCATCCGTAATTAGGATATAGACATATATAATGGGAAACCAGTTTATCGAACTCTTACGAAATCAGGTTATAGGATGGACTTTTGGTCATCTCCTCCGCGGAGCGGCTTTTGAATTTTACACCTGGTACAGAGCCAAGATATCCCACTGTAGGGCTGAGCTAAGAAGTGGAAGATAAGTGCTTTCTGATATCAGGGAGTGCTCTTTGTGGGTGCAAATAACGAGTTGGCGATTATTAGCGGTTTTGAGTGTTATGTGGAGCTGTCACTATCAATCCAGGGAAATGATTTTCTTGAACATACAATTTTGTTTTGGCTGTAAACCATGACAGAAACATGTGGTTTACAATTAATTTTCTCCCGCTCTCTCAATAATAAGATATACAGATTGTGTCTGCAAAAATCAGATTTACCAGAGAATCTCTACTCTTTCTAGGAATAGGTGTTTTGAGCGAAGGAAGATGTTGAATGGGTGCTTCTTATGGTAATCTCGTTCAGATGGAGACTAAACAAACTATCTTAGTATTGCGCTGAACCACGGGGCGGCGCTATGCATGTCCAGGCCTTTGATGAGCTGTTATGAGACCGAAAGTTATTAGACAAGATCCATGCGACCCCAGGTTACACCGCAGTGTTTGAGCTCAACCTAGTTTTTTAAGCTACATAGAGGTATTTCAGAGGACGCGAGGCAACGCAATCTAAAGAAGCGGCCATGAACTGAACTCCTACAGAAGTTAATGCGCATATTGTTTGCAGTAGCCTCTAATTCAGAAGAAGTGTCCGCCTAAAAAAAGACCCCATTGCCAATATAGTCTCCAATTCATCTGCACCAGTTTCCAGTACTGATTTCCCGGTACGAATAACCAGCTTGGTCATGTAGGCATAGTCTCCCAAAAGTTCAACATTTCCGAACACTACCAGATATGTCCTGCTTCGAGAGTGCACAGCACCAGGTTTCCGATGCGCATCCGCGAAAAATTCATAAAAAAAGATGGCCTCAATGCTCAGAAACCTCGTTCAAAGCAGCTCCAACATGGCAAGAAAACAGTTCAAAAAGGGAAAGTTCGGCAAGAGGCAAGGCGCCGAGTCGAAGAAAGACGGCCGTGGCGAGTGGACGCCTCTCAGCCGCGAGAACGAAAAATGGGAGACCTACTACAAGGCATTGGGCCTCATTCCAGAGGAAGAATGGGCCTCTTTCAAGGAGCACTGTCAGCGGGACTTGCCCGTGACTTTCAGGGTGACGGGCTCCAGAGCCCACGCCAAAGAAATCAACCAGAAGTTTCTTGACAACCACGTGTCCAAGTTGATCGATGCCGAGCACGAGGGCGTCAAGCTTGCACCCAAAAACATCGAGTTCTACCCCGACAACTTGGGCTGGCAGTTGGACGTGCCCAAGTACGTGATCCGTAGAAACGCCGAGTTCTCCAAGACTCAGAGATTCTTGGTGCTCGAGACCACCGTGGGCAACATCTCGCGCCAGGAGGCGGTTTCCATGATCCCACCTCTTTTGATGGACGTGCAGCCCCACCATGCGGTGTTGGACATGTGTGCTGCGCCCGGCTCCAAGACAGCGCAGCTTGTGGAGGCCTTGCATATGAAGGATGCCGAGACGCCCGCCACGGGTTTTGTCATGGCCAACGACAGCGACTACAAGCGCTCGCACATGTTGGTGCACCAGGTGAAGCGTCTCAACTCGCCCAACTTCGTGGTGGTCAACCACGACGCACAGTTGTTCCCAAGAATCCGTCTCTCGGACAGCGAGCCGTACTTGAAGTTCGACCGGATCTTGTGTGACGTGCCCTGCTCCGGAGACGGCACCATGAGAAAGAACATCAATGTGTGGAAGGACTTCACGGTGGGCGACGGCTTGGGCTTGCACCCGTTGCAGGTCAACATCTTGACCAGGGGCTTGCAGCTTTTGAAGGAAGGCGGCCGCCTTGTGTACTCGACCTGCTCGATGTCGCCCATCGAGAACGAGGCCGTGGTGGCCGAGGCGTTGAGGAAGTTTGCCAACGTCAGTCTTGTGGACGTCTCGCAAGACTTGCCCGGCTTGAAGAGGCGCCTGGGTGTCTCTTCTTGGAAGGTGTTCAGCAAGGACATGGTGGAGCGTGAGGCTGGCGACGAGAGCGTGCATGCCACGGCCTTCCCTCCTTCTGAAGACGAGGCCAAGCGCTTCCATTTGGACAGATGTGTGCGTGTGTACCCGCACTTGCAAAACACGGGCGGCTTCTTCATCACTGTGTTTGAGAAGAAGGCCCAGGAGGCCGAGCAGGCCGTTGACTCCAACAAGAGAGCTGCGACCGGTTCTGAGCAAGAGCCGGAGCAGAAAAAGGCCAAGACCACCTCCGTGGTTCCACAGTCCAGGCACAAGAGCCCAAGAACGGCCAACGAGGAGCCGTTTGTGTTCTTGGACCCTTCAAACGAGCAGTTGCAAATCTGCTGGGACTTCTACCAGATCGACGGGAAGTTCCCACGCGACACCGCGTTGGTCAGAAACGCCACCGGAGAGGCCTGCCGCACGATCTACTTTGTCAAGCCTGCGGTGGCCCGGATCTTGCGGATCGAGAACCAGAAGTTGAAGCTCATACACGCAGGAATCAAGCTTTTCACCAGTCAGAGAAACGACAACGGAAACTGCCCTTGGAGGGCCCAGTCGGAATCCTTGCCCATGTTGAAACAGTACGTTGGCCCTTCCAGACAGTTGACCACCAACACAGAGATGTTGAAGTTATTGTTCACAGATGCCTTCCCCAGAATGGAGAAGCTCAAGGAGTCTGGTTTGGACAATGAGTTCACGGAGAAGTTGACGCAGATGTCACAGGGATGTGTATTCTTGACCGTCAAGAGAGACGGGGACTTGGAGGCCTTGTTCATGACTTTATGGAGAGGAATCAACAACGTCAACTTGATGGTGAGCAAGGAGGACACCCATGAATTGCTCATGAGACTTTACGACATTCTGACCAATGCCACCGACGACGGCAAGGAAAAGGCTTATCAAATGATGGTGGAGGCTAAGAAGAAGGCCACGGCCGAGGCCGAGAAGGAAGCTGCGAGCGAGGAAACCCCAGAAGAGGTTTCGGGTGAGACTCCGGAAGAAGTATAAACCAAGAGTCTCGAGGCAGCTACGGACGCCACATAGAAATATTTGGGCATGTATATTAAGAATAAGATCGCATAAACGAACGACTGTGGACTAATGCATAAGCAAAATGGGCTTTACCTAAGCGAATAACTTACCGAGTCACGAGTCGAAGATGTGCTTTTGAAACGATGCTCTTTCTCTGATAAATTATTTTGGTGGTTTTTAGTCGCTTTCGCTTGAGTTCACAACACCTAGGATCGGCTTGACAGGACCCGACTGCCGAAAATGGGGCTCATCTGAATCTGAGTGAGGAACGTTCATGCTTCGTGGATTGATATCCGATCTGCTCGAGTCACTGCTTGTATCATCATACCCATCTTCGAAGTCTGGGGGCAATTTGGCCGAACTGGCAGGCTTCTCTACACTTGCATCAGAATCTTCTTGCGCAGCATCGCTGGAAGGTGCCAGGGTTTCGATGTTGAAAAACAGTTCCTCTTGTGCGCTATTAATCTGATGCGATTTTTTGAGAGAACCGAAACCTTCAAGTCCAAAGTCGCTGTCTGAACTCTGGCTGCTGGTATCAGAATCATCACCACTCGATGTAGACTCATCACTAGAAGACTCGCTAGTGGAAGTGGATGGACGTCTGTCCTCTTTTTCTGACGCAACAGGAACAGAACAGACGGAAGATATCTTTTTCTTTTTGATCTGTCTGCCGCCTTCGACCTCACTGGCGGTGTCACTTTCCAGCAAATCAATCGACATGATGTCAGACTCCTCGCCCGACCAGCGGGAAGAAAACTTTTCAGTATCGGATCCTTCAGATCCTTCGCTAGAAGAAGCCTCACACAGGCTCTCCGAGCTACTTTTGTCGTCGTTGATATCCAGATCAGGGGCTGCGTATTCATTCAAATCAAGCTCCTCATCGGGCTCCATAAATAGCAACGGGCTACATGCATCAATTTCTTCTTCTGCCCACTGCTCAAGCAAAAGCCCTAAAGCCAAGAGTGCCGTTTCATCCATGCTGTGGCTCGGCACCCTAGACGAACTGGCATAGTAGTGTATTGCTCTTAGTAGATCTGAATCCGGTAGCGCCTTCGGGTCCGGGAAATCTTCCCGCAGCTTGAGTGGAATATTCAAAGCCAGAGGCCTTGTTTCGTGTAGGATTTCATCAGGCGCAATCACAGTCCCTTTATCTAGGAACAATGTCCTATAGTCGGGGGCTAACGGGTCTAGCACGACTTTCGGATTCTTTCGTTTAAGTTTTATTTCATGATGGGGCGACTGATTGACCAATTTTTCGTCGAGTTGTATGTCTGTCACATACAAGTCTGAAGTTGCATCGTATACATTGGCAGATCCATCATTGGGAATAGGCAAGGACGAAGGCTGCATGGGTCTGACTGAGATTTTTAGCCGAGATGTTTCTGCACTCTAATTAGTGGCCCGACTTATATGACTTGATTAGTATGAAGTATGGTTCGGATGATTGAAGCTCATAAACCAAACGTGCAGCTGGAGGCTTACACTACACATGTTTTCATCTCAGGCTTTGCAGGGTTTTTGAGGCCGTGCATACTAAGCGAGCAGATCATTATGAGACTGCACATAACATGATTTCACCAAAACAATGCCTGGCCTTTGAGGCCGGCTGGGCAAAGAGTTGAACGAGATTCAAAATTTTGGTCGGCGAGATTGTATCTCTTTGAAAGGAGAATAATAATAGGAAAGCTCCTCTTTGAGAGTTGCAAGCCAGAATTCCAGGTATCCCGAGACATTAAATCCTAGACATTCATTCTTAGACACTCACAAAGATACAATCGCAAATAGTGGAATATAAAATGAGCGTGCTGGCAGATGAAAGGTTGCAGTTGGCGCTTCAGTTGAAAGAGATAGAACACCGAGACGAGAATCGAAAACATTTGATCAGGCTTTGCGTCATGAAGGCATTATGCCTAACTCAAGAAGCTACGGGTGAGCATTCCAACGGCGAGAATATCGGAAGTGAGACCACGAGAAACATTTCCTCCGAGACTAAAACGTCGTCCGAGTTATCCTCAGTCCCTGCAAGCTCACAAGATCCCGTCAATTTCGATGCACTACAGAAAAAAGTCCATGCATTCGAGCTTCAGGTGGCCAGTTTGAAGATGCAGTTATCAACCAAAGAACAGGCGCACGCAGCGAAAGTCGACGACCTTCGAGAGGAGATTGCTCGGTTGAAGAAAAATAGCGACTTTTGTGCCGGTTCAAACGTTGCTCGAGCAAGTACTAGGGCCTCTAGAGGCAGGGTGAAGCTTGCGGCTGTCGGGTCTCCCGTGTCTCGACTGACGATCTCAATGTCGCTGTTTTTCGCCAAATCACCTTTCTCAGACCTGAAGAGTGGGCGAGGAAACTCCTTTTCGGGGGATGGGATTGCATCTGTGGCGTCCCAAGCGTCTTTCAAACTTTCTCGTAGTGGGCCCAAGCCTATCGAGGAGGTTTTTTCGCCAAACAACTCAAGCGCTGAGTCCACGCCCAAGAAGTCTAAAACCAACAGCGATATTCTCCAGGAGTCAAGCCGCATCGAACCTCAGGGCCTGAGCGGAATTGGCACAGAGAAGCGAGCGTCTTCTGAGACCCTGACCACGAGCAATACTACGGTGTCGGACCCCGAAGAGACGTTTCTAAGTGCAAATATGACCTTCGAGTCCGAAAAGGAGAAGAAGACCAAGAGAAAGAAAATCAGATTGGTTTCGTCGGAGGCGTCGAAGCTCATCTTGGCACAGCATGACGGGGGCCACGACGAAGAAAAGGACTTGAACTCACTCAAGTATTACCAGGACGAGAATTTCGAAAGCGGGTCGGGGTCACCTGCCCGGCCCCAGAAACGCCCAGCTGCAGCTGGTCCAGTAACAAAGAAGAAACACGTGTTCAAGATTGGCTAGGCAGCAGAAAGAGAGACGTCTGAGAATACCCCGCGGAGTTCCTCCGAGTGCACTCAACCAAGAAGCAGGGTCTTGAACATTTCTTCATGACGATTCTGGATGATCCCTTTATCCATATGCGGTGGGCCAGGCAAATGCATTTGGAGTGGGCATTTAGTAAATCGAGCCAAAGAAGTGGGTCTTGCTGAAACAAGACATACGAGACCGCGCGCCTGAAGAAAGAAGCCAATATCATCCGGCCACAATAGCCCCCACGGCTCGGCTCTACTCAGATGGGGCCGTGGGCTAGCGTTGTCTACTTTTCAATGAATGCTAGTCACGTGCGCGGTCTACAGCCCACATACCTAAAAAGTTTCCGGGCCGCACATTGCGCTGTCTGAAGGGCAGCAGGCGCGGCCTGGAAAATAAGGCAGCTTGGCCCAAAAAGGCAGCTTGGCCCAAAAAGGCAGCTTGGCCCATTCTGTTTTCCGTGGCCGGACTCATGTTGGGGTATGCGGGACGGGCATGTCACATGACCAGGACACCACCAGAAGCACCAGACACCACGGAAAGCACCCGGCATTTGGGCACCCGCGCCACTGCAAATGCAGAAAAACACGCATCCTTCAATTAGCAGTACGCCACATCTTACCATCAAAATATAGAGATATAGGAACCCCGGCTTTGGCGGGGCCTGGCCCCCGCCCGGGTCACGTGACCCAGAGCTCGCCGCCATGCGCGCGACTCTGGGTCCGCACTCACGTCATTAGTAACGCCTGGCAATTCCGATCGACCCTCCAACATCCAGATAAACCACCTTCCAATCCCCCGTTTTCTATCTGGATTCGACATCAAATTCACACAGACACACTCTTTATGTTGAGACTGAGCATGCCCCTGCATGCGCAGCGTGTGGCCCGCCATCAGAGTGCCCGGAGCCCGTTTGCCTCTGTCGCACGGATCTCGGTGAGAAGCGCCACCTCTGTTTCCCAAAATCCGGCCACACCCTCGCCCAGACGCCCCGAGGCCGCGCCAGGCTTTTCCTGGCAGCCGAGAACCCCCGCGCCCTCGTTTTTCCCGTTTTCCGAGCTCGCCGCGGGCGGATTTGCGGGCCTGCTCGCCGCGCCTGGATATGTGCTCAAGAGCAAGGACTCCGGGGCCTCGGAACCCGCCGAAAAGCCCCTGAAATCGCCCGAGCTGGGGCCCAAGGACAAGCCGAGCGACGGCGCCGCTGAGAACGACGCACCCCCGCCGAAAAACGACGAAAATGACGTGCCTGCTCCCAAAGAGCTGGACGTCCCTGCGGACGAGACGCCCGGGTCCAGCGGAGTGCCCACTACCGCCGGCTCTTCCGGCGCTGCGGCCCTGGGCGGCAGTGGCAACAACAACGGCAATGGCGGCGGCAACAACAACGGCAAAAACGGCGGCAACGGCGACGCGGAGGCCGTGGAAATGGTGCTGGAAACAGGCGCGTACCCCCCGTTCCTTGCCATTGCCATGAAGGACCGGCCGCAGCTCCCTGGGCGGGAGTTCTCCATCAACATCTCGGACCCCAAGGTCAAGAGTGCCGTGACGGAGATCTGCAGCCGCCGCGAGCCGCACTTTGTGCTTTTCCACATGAACGATCCCGACATGCCGGACACAGATGTGATCCAGGACCGCAAGTCCGTGTACGACATTGGCGCGCACTGCTTTGTGCTCCGAACGTACGAGGACGGCGACAACTTGCGCATTTTGGGCCGCGTCATGGAGCGCTGCCGCTTGGAGAAGTTGGTCACGCCCGACGAGCAGGCGCAGCCGGCCGACCCCGAGGAAATGGCCGAGGATTTCCCGACGCTGTACTTGCGGGACTTTGGCGTGTCGTACGCGCGCGTGACGCGCTGTGACGACGAGCCGTTCGACGCCGACAGCCCGGAAATCAAGTTCTTGGTGGCGCAGGTCAAGGCGTACTTCGAGGTCATCGACTCCAAGATCCCCAGCAAGAAGATCGTCACCACGCGCGGCGCCAGTCTCTTGAACTCGCCCTCGCAGCTTGCGGACTTCATCGGCTCGCTCTCTGCGGCGCCCGCGGACAAGATCCAGGAGTTGCTTCTGGAGCTCAATGTCGAGGCGCGTTTGAGAAAGGCACTTGAGTTGTTCAAGGTCGAGCTCAAGTCGTACTACACGTTGATTGACACCACGATGGAGATCACGTCCAAGGCCGAGGAGGCCCAACACAAGCAGTTCATCAAGGAGTACATCAAGGGCCTCCAGAGACACATTGGCGGGCCGGAGGCGGCCTCGCTGAAAACCGCCAAGTTCGACGAGCGGATCCAGCATATGAAGCTCACGGAAGAGGCGATGGAGGCGTACAACACGGAGAAGGCCAAGTTGGAGTCGGGCCAGGAACATTCCAGCGAGCTCGCCGTCAGCGAAAAGTACTTGGACTGGTTGACCCTGATTCCCTGGGGAATCTACTCGAAGGACAGGTTCAACGTCAAACTCGCAAAGACTGTTTTGGACAGAGACCACTATGGCTTGAAGGACGTCAAGGACCGTATCCTCGAGTTTATCTCCATGGGCAAAATCTCCGGTAAGGTTGACGGCAAGATCTTGTGTCTCGTCGGCCCCCCGGGTACCGGCAAAACCTCGATTGCCAAGTCGATTGCCGAATCCTTGGACCGCCGTTACGTCAGAATTGCCATGGGAGGTATTCAAGATGTCCACGAGGTGAAGGGTCACAGAAGAACATACGTGGGCTCGATTCCGGGCCGCATCATTTCCTCTTTGAAGCAAGCGAAAACATCGAACCCTTTGCTCTTGATTGACGAAATCGATAAGCTCGACATGAGCAAGAGCGGGGGCGCCGCGTCGGCGTTCTTGGAGATTTTGGATCCCGAGCAAAACAATGCTTTCGTTGACAACTACATTGACGTCAAAGTTGACCTTTCCAAGGTATTGTTTGTGTGCACCGCAAACTACTTGGGGAACATTCCAGGTCCATTGAGAGACAGAATGGAGGTGATCGAGGTCCCAGGCTACACCAACAATGAGAAGTTCGAGATTGTCACCAAGCATTTGATTCCTAACGCGGCAAAGAGAGCCAACTTGGACGAGTCCCGCGTTTCCATCAGCGCCGAGTCCGTCAGAAGGTTGATTGACAAATACTGCAGAGAAAGTGGATTGAGAAACTTGAAGAAGCTCATTACAAGAATATTCAGCAAGGCGTCTTTGAAGATTGTGCAAGAACTCGAGGAGAGAGAGCCCGCCGAGGCCACCGAGACCGCGAAGAAGGCCGCGCCATCTAACAATCCTGACAAGGGGGACTCAAATATTGTCCAGGAGTTCAAGACCCTTGACACTAGTATTGAGAAGGGCGAGATTGAGAAGGGCGGCCTCGAGAAGAGTGCGGACAGTTCTGTCCTCCCGCACGAAATTCCCGAGGACATCAAGCTCGACGTTACCCCCAAGGTTTTGAAGGACTACGTTGGCCCCGAGATCTACACCAAAACCCGTGTGTATGACCTCCCCCCTCCCGGTGTTGCGACAGGTCTTGCCTACAGCACCTCTGGAAATGGCGATGCTTTGTACATCGAGTCTATCTTGACGAATTCCATTGGAGCAGGAACCGGAAGCGCTGGGATGCGGGTCACTGGGCATTTGAAAGATGTGATGAAGGAATCAGCGTCGATCGCCTACTCGTTCTCGAAGCTGTTCATGGTCAAGAAGTATCCCGCGAACCGGTTCTTCGAGGGCGCCGACATCCATGTGCACTGCCCTGAAGGCGCTGTGCCCAAGGACGGGCCGTCGGCAGGAATCGCGTTCACGTCCTCCTTGATCTCGTTGGCTCTCAACCAGTCTTTGCCTCCAAACGTTGCCATGACGGGTGAGATCACGCTCACAGGGAAGGTGTCCGCAGTCGGCGGGCTCCGGGAGAAGATCTTGGGTGCGAAGAGGTATGGATACGACACCATCATTTTCCCCAAGGACATTGAGAACGAGTTGGAGGAGGTGTCGGAAGAAGTGAAGGACGGGATGACGTTCGTCCCCGTGCTGTGGTACGACGAGGTTTTCGCGGCGATCTTCCCCGGCGCCGACGCCGACAAGATCAACCGTTTGTGGAAGAAAGAGTTTGCGAAGCGCGACGAGAAGAAGAGTAAGCCCAAGAAGTGATGACCATGGGATGCATCTGAAAATGTATATAGTTTTTTTCTCATACTTAATAGAGAGCCCCTCACTCGTCAACTTAGAGAGCCCCTTACTAGTCGACTTAAAGAGCCACACTCGTCGACTTAATAGAGCCCCTCACTCGTCGACTTAAAGAGCCAATCGCTCGTTGACTTAGAGAGCCAATCGCTCGTCGACTTAATAGAGCCCCTCATTCGTCGACTTAATAGAGCCCCTCATTCGTCACTTAAAGAGCCCCTCATTCGTCACTTAAAGAGCCCCTCACTCGTCGACTTAGAGAGCCTCACTCGTCCTCCATCCGGCCAAAGAAGGCCCTGACCTCCTCCTCGGTCACCACCTTCTTCTTCTCCACAAAGTCCTTGAAGAAGCCCCTGAGCTTTTCCTTCATGGCGTCGTACGCCTCGAGCCCCTCGAGCGCCTGCGGGATCGGGAGGCTCCGGAGCGCCGTCGAGCCCAAGTCGTAGAGCGAGCCCTCGGCCGCCGGCGTGGACGCGGCGCCGTCCGCCGCCGGCTGGTGCACGGGCTCTTCCGTGACTAGAAACCCAAACGCCTCGAGAAGCTTGCGGAGAGCCGAGCCCGGGGGGAGGCGGCCCCGGAGCGCCGAGAGGCGAGCGTGGAAGCCGGGCGCCAAGAACACCGAGTACGGCGCGGGCCGCGGCCGAGGCAGCGTGCTGCGTCTCGGCCTCTTGACGCCCTTTTCGCCGGGCCCGCTCTCGGCAAGCGAGCGCCACGTGTCCGCGGAGTCGGCCCCGGCCAAGTGGGGCCGTGTGGCCAGCACCACGCCCGCGCACGCCACAAGCTCGGCGAACGCGCGGCCGTGCCTTTGCACGCAGCGCCAGCAGACGAACTCAACGAAGGCGTCCTCGTCCGGGAAGTGCGGCACGGCGTGTGCCCGCGGCCCCAGGAAGAGCCCCGGCACGTACCCGAGGATGCATTCCTGGTGGTACCAGTCCTCGCCGCACGCGTCGCCCAAGTAGCACTGGTGCATGGTGCGGCGCTCCAGCGCCGGGTCGTAGGGCGCCGCGCAGCTGCAGAAGCGGCCCGCGTAGTTGTGGTTGTACGAGTTGCCCAGGCTCTCGATGTCCGAGGCCGGCGGGAGCGGCGGCGCCGAGAACGGGCGGGATCCGCCGGACGCGGTTGCGCGGGCCCGCACGGCACACGCGGCGCCGCCGGCCATCCGCCCGGTGCCACAGTCGCACGCAAAGTGCCGTTTCGAGAAGAGCTCCACCAAGTCGTGCGTGGAGTGGCACTGGATCAGGCACAGGTAGCACACGCCGACGGCGGCCGCGCTGGCCCGGCGGCACGTGAGGCACGCGAACACGTGCTGGCGGAGCGGCCGCGGGTACGTGCAAGTGTCGGGCTCGTAGGGCATGGCCTCGCGGGCCTCTTGTTCAAGCTGGGCCTGGTGCTCGAGGAAGTCTGCGGCGGTGAGCGAGCTGTCGGCCGGCGACTCGGGCATGGTTGTGTTTGTGGTTGTGTTTGTGGTTGTGTTTGTGGTTGTGTTTGTGGTTGTGTTTGTGGTGATTTTGTGGTTGTGGTTGTGGTTGTGGCGAGATATGAAGAGATGCTGGAGATTGTGATGGAGATGGTGGAGGCTTAGGGCGCCGTGCAGGCGTCTCAGACGCGCGGCGGATCTAGAGTGTGTTTGTATTTCTGCTTGAGTACAGGATATTCCAACTCAATGTCCTGTCCACAAGTGGTTCCCAACTGGTACAGTTGAGATATCGGATTCGACATGATGTACTAGCGTGTGGAAATAAACCTTTATTTAGGAAAAACTAAAACCACTTTTGTGTCAACTGACCTTCTAAAAAGATCTCTAGAGGGAATTCTCTTCCCTTCATATACTCGTCGTGCTATTTGGTTCCGGGTAAGTGGTGCGAACTTTAATGTCTCATTTGTCACATGATTAATTAGGGCTAAGCGTCTAGTTCTCACAGAGTGGGCGCGGGAGAGTCGGGCGCGGCCGGCTCGCGCAACCGCCGTTTCGATGGCAGTGCCAAGTTCAGTGATGATTTCAGTGCCGCTATATTACCGTTTTCACTTTTTTGCATGCCATTTCCATGCTATTTTAAGTGATGATTTCAGTGCCACTATATTCCCGTTTTCATTATTTTTGCGTGCCATTTCCATGTTAATTTAAGTGAGAATTTCAGTGCCAATGTGCCACTATATTACCGTTTCATTATTTTGCAAGCCATTTCCATGCTATTTTAAGTGATGGTTTCAGTGCCACTATATTACCGTTTCATT